ATATGATGTTTATCAGTGATGTAGTTTTATTTTTATTTTGACAAATATGTGACATATACTTCTAATATCAGAAATGAAATCTTTATATGTTAGATTAGAGTACAGATATTACCAAAAGTGAATTTTTAGAAAATATTAAATATTTAAAAGTAGAAGTTTTTAGTTAAAAAAGTACATTTGAATAAAATGTTATAGGCATTACAAGAACATTATTAATAGCTGTGAGTTTAATAGCTAATACTGAAAGCATAAAGATCTAAAGTAAACATGTATAATATAAAATATACACTGAAAACTAGTTTAAATGTTTACATATAATATTAAAATTTCAAGTCTAAATACTAATAAAGTAATATAAACTATTTGATACAATTTTTTATACTTGCATTACTTTTATGACAGTTAATAAATATATATACTCTGCAAAAGTAACTTTTATTAACTGTTATTATAAATTATACAAATCAACACTGTTACAAGCATGTGTTTCTCCTCCTTGTAAGTCCTAAATATTAAAATAATGATAACTAAAAAAGTTTCTAATATACAAAATCACAAATTTAAAAAGATGTTTCATTTAGCAACTTAAATAAATAGTACTTCTAATGTTGTCTATTTATATAAATAGAATATCTTCAGTTCAAAAGTCCTGTATCACATGTAAAAAGTATGAGGTCAGTAGGTAAGTAGGTGGTTATGTATATAACAAGTTTGTAAACAAAACTTTTTATAAGCACGACCCGGCTCTGAAATAGCCATAATTGTGTTCTATGCCAGTTACGTTAATAAGTTTTGTACAAACGTTTCGTATGCGACCCAAGACAAGATCATAACCTTACAGTGAATTATTTATAACTATTACCTACCTGTGTATTCTTCATATTGTTACCAACATGAAACATTAAGCTAATTGTAAGGAAATGCAGTCCTAAACTATTTATGAGTATAAAAATATAATTTTGAAAGTTAAAATGTTGGATAAGCATCAGTTTCTTACCTCGTTGACACCTGAACTCCAAAGTGATCCGAGAGTTCGTTATAACTTCACACACAAAACTTTTAACTTTTGACGAATGGTATTTACACTATACAATATGTAGACACTCCGCCTTTGTTTATTTTAAGTCTTTCAACTTACAAACGAGCGACAAACAACATTTTCACGTAGAAAACAAAAAAATATTCACGCGCTTGACGTCGCTTTCGCCATGGTGTTGATGCACATTGACGCTATCTCGCGATTTATTGTTGAACTAATTTGTAACCACGTTCCGTTTTACTCATATATGACAACGAGAAAAACTCATTTACAATCTACATACAGTATATACAAAGAGTACAATAATTAAAGATATTTTAAACCGTTTTATTGTTTTCTTTTTAGATTGCTTTTTATTAAAACCTTTAAAACTATTAAAAGTTCTAAAGAAATTCGAGCAACTTGATACATTTTCAAAAGTTTATCGTAAGTATCTACTTAATTCTCGATCATGTTTTTATCTTTGTCATGATTTAGTCACAGATCCTTTGATCTCTTAAGTGAATCAATTGATGGATTTAAACTACCAGATGACAGCTTTGTGATTATTGAAGAAAATTAAAGTGCAGTTTATTGAATTCGAAATTCTGTGTTCCCAATGACATCTACGGTGTGGACAGAGGGTAACGAATTTGCTGAGAATCGGCAAATATACTCACCTGCCCCTGAAATCACTGAGTGCTTATACATAACGTCCACAAGCGTCATACTAGTTCATAATCCACCATCACGTATAATATGCCATACTCTACTCGCGAATATAACGCACCTGTTGCGTTTGCTATTGTTGTACACAACTGATATTTCGTACTTACTCAATCCTCTATCAAACCTCCAAGCTTCCAATCTTTCCAAAGCTTTTTGATTGACCATGGACGAACCTCAACGCTCCTTACTCAATCTAAAGAGCAAGGAATGATTATCCCAGTTAAATGCACTCTGCCTGCACTGCCAATAAACTTACAGTCATAGTATTTACGTTAGGTAAAAGAAATTCTAGGCATTATTACGAAATGCTTTTATTTTTATTCAGACAAGTATACAAACATAGATTAAATTACATGAATTTGTGATATTAACAAACATCACAATAAAATTATTTATGTCAACACTTTTATTAATATGAGACATACGGATCTAGACTACTTTGCTAAATTTTTCAACTACTCCGCAATAAGGTACATGTTACGTCACCGACAAACTCTGCTAAACGTATTCATTAGAATACAAAACATTTAATTAATAATGCATTTTGAAACAAAACAATACATTCTTCATAACAGTTGTTTCCTACACTAAGATACAAAACAACAAACAAATGATTAAAACTAAAATTAAACAAGTTGGCGCCGCTGCGCTTTTAAACTAAAACTACAAAAATGACTAAAGCAGCAATGACTGTTCTTATAATGCTACAATAATAAATAATGTTTTAAATTGTAAAACAAATCTGGTCTATGAGGTACATTCTTATACTCAGGAACCTTAAAGTAGCGTTAGAAAATCATACTAACAAACGTTTGCGTAACAAGTTATTAATTATTTTTTACCAATCTGTATCAAAAAAGTTAAGTAATTAATGTTACTACACATTTAATGAAGTTTAAGCAATACTTATGAAATATATATCTTGGAAATTAATCTTAAAATCGCAATAATACTTTATGGATATCATGTCGCTATTCAAACAGCCGTATAAATCTGATTGCAGCATATTTAAGAGAAATTCGCTAAGTTATACAGTACCTTTGTATATGTAGATACTTTAATCTGGATAATTATTAATGGTGTAACTATATTTGTGTATTATAACAGTTGTGAAAAAATCAAGTGAAATGTAAATCAACCCAAATATCCACAACACACAATTCGCACTGTTTTATTACGCCTTGTATTATTCTCACCTTTTTGATACAAATTGTATATAAAAATAAGCACATATAAGTAATATAATAGGGTATTATTTAAAATTAATTTGGCCTATACTGCGATTACTTGGCTTAGTAGTTATATATTATTCTTACTTTTCGAAGTAACTAAATGACATAATAATACGTTATCATTATTTCATTGTGAAACAAATATTAGATAACTAAATAGGAAATTAAAAATAAAATTACTCTACACAATAATTGCATTAAGCTGAAATCATGAAATTACACGTACTTTACATTTAACGTGCGGAAGAGGGGATGGGGAGTAATCACCAGGCCTGCCATCCTACATGGATCTAAGTGTTGCCAACGAAGAAAATGGCGGAGAGATGCCTATATGTAGCTGAAATACGAATATTAAGATGAGTGTACTTTGTGGCACGCTTGGACATGGTGAGGCATGAATACATCAGAGGAAGCCTGAAAGTTGCTCCGGTACTAGTATGGATGTGTGATGCATAGAGATGAGCAAATTGTAGTGAAGAAAGTTTTATGTATGGAAGTTGACAAATTTAAGAGTGGAGGAAGACATCTATGGATGTGGATGGAGTACACTTTATGTTACAATGTATATAATTCAAAGAGTAAAATTAGTGTTACGTGGCCCACGTAAGCATTAAGACAGTTGTACTCAACTAATTAACTGTTGAGATTTTATTTATATAACATCTTATTATAATAGTTTCAAACATTATATCATACCAATATATTATATTTCTACAATAATCGACATTCAGTTGATTATTATATTCATTTTTTTTGTAATTGACAATTTGCATATAATTGCATAAACATAGAGGAGGGTTTTGCTTGCGGCAATAGACAAAATAAATTTGATTGAGTGGTTTTATAGGGCGTCGTATTCCTAATTTATATAAAGTTATATGTTTTTTCAGTATAATTTATACACTTCATTTAACACCATACATACAATTTGGTTTATAATTGTTCTGTATTTGTATAATAGTACACATACAAATCTAACGAATAATAATAGAAAAATTGCGAGAAATTATAATATACATAAATAACAAAAGTTGCAGTTGTATTAAATAAAGACGCGCCCTAATTACATTCTTATTAAATATTGCGATTAGTGATTCGATTAAAAAACGAGATCGAATTCGAATATTTGAATTCGGATCATACGCAACTCGATGGTGTAATAAACATTTCATAGAGCATCTATTACACCTCTTTTTCTGTAATTGCCTTGTAATTTTGGTCTTGTTATACTGTTACATAAGAATATGTTTTTTCAAAGTATTTAATTCTGCACAAGAATAAGTGTAATGAAAATATCTAAAGATAGCAAACTTAAAATCTATTCATATAATGTGATGAAACAATGTCTAAAATCTACATAACTATAAGAAATACAAGATTCATAGAATATTTTAAGGCAACTTGCTAAAGCTGTCTGTGCCTACATACTACATATCTAATAGAAACGGTCAGCCTCTTCAATCTTTGCGACCGACCTTCAAAGCTAACTTTATGCCGTAATAAATAAGGTACATATTTTTGTGCTTCGAAGGCAGGTCATCAGCTACTCCATACATTGTACAAACCTATATGTTTAAATCAATTTGGTTTTTCCAACATTGTACACAATACTCTAATGTATTACTAAAATAATCCAATAAGGTTTAATATTCATCTACTTAATACACTGGCCAAAACTTGACAAACAAAGACTAAAGAACCTGGAGACTTTATTTAAAGAGGTTTATATCAATTTAATGTAAATTTCTGATTTTGTGTCCTTTCCTGTATTATTATTATTATTGTTATGTTAAAGATTTCGCTGTGAAAACTTGTGAACATGAACATACAACAGGTCTTTTTTAATTTACTTAAATTTACGCGTGACCGATACATGTTTCTTAGTCATTTTTAATCAGTACAAATTATACACAAAAACAGTTTTTGGGTAGGTATTTTATAACACAACTATTCATCTATCATCATTATGTTTCCAAAAAGCAGAATGTGTTTTTGTAACATCATAGTTAATACAATGGTGCTTACGCGCTCATTTTGTTCAATCCTTTTATAAAGTTCGTCATGTCGTATTCTTCTTCATACTGCTTATCATCCCACAAGTCCGGTAATGTTTCCAACACGGACTTGACGCCGGAAGTGCTGGCCTGCTGCTGTTGAGACGCGTTGGAGCTCGACAAGTTGAACAAGTCCAATAGCTGGTCTGTGCCCATCGTTTCCATAGCGGCGTTCTCGCTGCTTATAACTGTGTTTGCCGTAAGTAGCTTGAACTTTTGTAATCTAAATGAAAAAAATGAAGCTATTATATTATATGACACAAAAATCGAACTGCCTTATCATATCAATTTTTGTAATCGTCTTTTAAAACTGTTCGTTTCAGATACCTCCTTGGTGGATTTGGAAAAAGAACACAAAACATTGATTGTTTATAATTTTAAATAAAAATGTAAACAGCGTCATTTGTTTCGTAGTAGTAAAACAAGGGAAAACGGATAGTGGCGCAAACATACAGACTAAATACATAATCATTTTAGACTTCGATACAGTAGTCGAGTAAATATAATTTTTACCTTCATAATATCTTGAAGGAATAGATTTTGGAGGTTATGAGACCCCCCAAAAAAAATATGTACACAATTTACTATATAAATTTCATTTTACTATATAAATCGTCTCTTTGTTGTTTGTTTGTCTGCTTGTTTCAGACTGTTTGTCATCAGACAGTATATATTCAGTCCGTGATATACTTGTCTTGGTATCCTCTCCTATCGCTGGATATAGGTACATACCGCATTTTAGTCCTGTCCCCCCTCCGAGTACTGCGGTACATGCCACCCTAATTTTCCTCTCTCATCCAATCCTCCCAACCATAATGTTTAATGTTTTTTCCCTTCCCTCATTCCCAATGAGAGTTGGCGACAGACAGGCGGCCAGCCATAAAATTAATTAGCCACCAAGTCGAACTACTTTCTCATAAAAAGAAGTAAGTTGGTTTGTATTAGAGACTGCAAAGGCATTATTGAAAGAGATACATGGGGGTAGAGTGATGAAGTACAGAAAGCCCTAAAAGAAAAAAAGTGTGCCTTTAAAGCGTGGAAAAATGAAAAGGGGTGTGCGAGAATAAAGGAAGTCAAAATGAATGAATATAAAGAGTGGAAGAAAAAGGCAAAAAAAAAGGGTAGCCAGAGCTCAAGCTCAATAAACGTTTAAACACCTACATGAACCTAGAGGTCAAAAAGAACTCTACCGCATTAGAAAAAACAGGACAGAAAGAGCAAAAGACTTAAAGCATGTGAAATGTATAAAAGATGATGTACAGCATCGAATCAATACGGGATGGATGAAGTGGCGGCAGTTAACGGGAACAATTTGTGACCCCAGTTTCCTCTTAACACTGAAGGGACAAATTTATAAAACTATAATCAGACCTGCCGTTCTGTATGGTGCTGAAAGTTGGCAAATTAAGAGAATGGATGAGAGACGCCTGAGTAGCCAAAATGCGAATGCTCAGATGGATGCGTTGTGTGCCTCGGATGGACAAGGTTAGGAATTAGTACCTATATACGAGGGAGTCTGAAAGTAGCGCCACTGAATGAAAAGAAAGAAAAGAAAAGAAATAGGTTATCTTAGTATGGACATGTCATGCGGAGGGATGTGGAGAATGTGGCGAAGAAAGTGTTAGGTATAAGAGGTGAGGGGTACAAGAGAAGAGGAAGACCAAAGAAAAGTTTGATGGACTGTGTGTGAGGATATGGCTAGGTAAACAGTGAGATGACGAATAATAGAGTAGAATTTAAGATTTATACTTACTGCGCCGACCCCAAATAAAATAGGGATAAGGGTAGGCAGATGCTGATATTTAATTAGCAATGGCAATCGCACATATACTCGTATACAGGTATTATTGAAATTTTAAAACTACGAAATCTATGATTAAGCATACCCCATAATCTTCTCCTCGAGGGTTTCCCTGGTGATGAGCCGGTACACATTCACAACCTTCTTCTGTCCTATACGGTGGGCGCGGTCCATCGCCTGGAGGTCCTTCATTGGGTTCCAGTCGTGCTCGACGAAGATTACGGTATCCGCACCGGTCAGGTTCAAACCAAGTCCACCGGCCTACAAATTAAAAGACTATACTGCTACAATCACATCGTGAAGGCGGTTTATGAAGACCGACAGAAATACGTAACAACTACTAATTCTGTATCAAATAAAAAATAAATATAATCTCAAAAGATTGTCTAGTCCGACGATCCTCCTCTTTGTGTTGGAGAGACAATTCCATTCCATTTACAAATTTACAATTTAAGTGACTAGTTTTTATTGTTTTGTTTTGTTTATTGTAAAACAGCCTGGACTTTAATTACTATTTCAAAATCAAGTCAAAATTAAGCGGCTTTAGTCGATCTTGGATTAAATTTTGCTCTACATGTACAATTTCTTTATCTTTTGACTATGGTGGCACCCTACCGACCAGCTTTTATATAACCTAGATAGCAAGCCGCCGTGACATGAAGTACAAGTAGGTCTCGTACCGCAGTGGTGAGCAGCAGCAAGTCGATGGAGACATCAGTATTGAAGCGCGTGACGATGGCGTGTCGCTGGTGCGGCGGCACGCTGCCGTCGAGGCGCAGGTACGTGACGGCGGGCAGCTGGCGCCGCAGCAGGTCTTGCTCAACGATGTCCAGCATCTTCTTCAGCTGGCAGAACACCAGCGCGCGGTGCTGCGATACTACCGCCTCTCCCTCCGCATCAGATGCTGTCGTGCCGATGCCGCAGTCCAGAAGAAGTTGTCTGCAACCGCACACCGATTTTTTATATACACTTTTAAATTGTATGTAAAATTACTTAATTTCACAATTCAAATTTCCTATTATTATCAATAAGTGATAAAAAGCATTAAATTTGTACACTAAAACAATAATTCTCTATTTTGCTAATTAAGATAATTGTTTGAATACTAACTTGAGTGCGGGCAACTTGGCAGAGTGCTCGATGTCGTCTAAGGTGGAGTTTTGTGATTGCAACTGGCGGGCGATGGCTGCCGCTTCAGGGTGGTCAGGCGTTAACACCAGCTTCGGGTGGTTGCACACATTCTGCAGGTAGTGCAGGGCCTGCGGACACACAAACATTTCAAGTTTACATTAAGCGCTTGTTTTAGGATATCGAAATTTCAATGTATCAACGTTGGCTCAAAAGTCAATGAAGGTGGCTTAAATCCAGCTGTGGTCATCCTCAGGCTAAAATTACCTACTTTCTGTTCTCTCTACATCACCCAAAGGTTGACTGGTAGAGAATGCCTTAGGCATAAGTCCGCTAATGCACCAAAAGCGCATGATGTATAAATAAATAATAAATAAATAAAATGGTAATCGTCTGCGTGTTTTCATATTATTTCGTGTCCTTCGTATTTCTATATTTCAAATAATGGTATAATGGTAGTTACCTGGAACACGTGAGTCTGTTGTGAATTGACGTCACGAGGCATGTGTTCCCGGGAGAAGTCCTCATAAAGCCTCCTCTGCAACGGGCTCAGATCACAGTAGTAGTCCTGCGTTATCTTAGGTGGAAGCTCCTTTAGCACGTCCTCTTTTACGCGGCGTAGGAGGAACGGTAGAACCTAAAACATATAACAAACACAAGATTAGATTTAATCACATAAAACAGGGAGTCTTTTCATATTCAGGTAAAATCATGATAAAACTTTAAAGAGAATATTTAAAAACGTTAATCAAAATTATTATACATAGGTACATTTCATATAATTATTACAAAGCACGGGCTTACACAAATCATTTTATCATAAAACAATAAATAGTAATGTTTTAATATCATTGTTCATTTATTGGCCCATATCATTTACCAAGACCACAAGCAACTTTAGCAAAATACACTTAGAATTTTATAATACAAAATCTCGTATATTAATTTATTCTTAAAAAGTGTTACCAGTATAAGAGCTTAGGCAAGTATCAGTCCTCTATTTAACTAACCGTAACAGCCACAAAAAGCCATCAGCTCAATTAAATGTTGTTAGATTAAGGTTAATCGATCAATTTGCAGTGCAATGGGAGAGGCCTGTGTCCAGCAGTGGACTGCGATAAGATGATGATGATGATAGGTAATAACATAACTCCAAAACACAAAAAATAACAAATGCGTTACTAAGTATTTTCTTCAATAATTATATTTAAGGTAAATATAAAAATACAATCAAACATTAACTTACCTGTCGATGTAACGCTTCGCAAGCTAAAGCTCCGGCCTGCAGTTGATGTGGAGTGGCTTTGGCATCTCTAGCGGCGAGGATAGGCCTCGAATAGCGCGCCGTGAACTGGCGCTCCGTACCCAGGAGACCAGGCATTAGGAAGTCGAATAAAGACCACAGCTCTAGTACATTATTCTGTAATGTAAGTAAAGGTTTTATTATAACAAAGTAAATTCTCACCAACAGGCGTAAAAGTGTTTAAAGCAACTAGTATTTATTTTAGATGTAAGAGCATTAGTGTAATTATAAATTGATTGCCTTGAAAACCTTAATTACCTCGTTTTGGAACCTAATTAAGCATTAGAAATACGACTAAAAGGCACGATTTAATAAAAGTAAGAGTTCTACTATCAATTTTCGCCTCCGTTTAGACTTCAAACACAAATTTAAAAGTCCTAATATCCCCTGAAGATCGTAGCATTAAATTCAGTTTAGTTACGACAGTAAGGAAATTAAAACTAACTTTTAAGATTTGTTTACAGAGTTAGTAAAAGTGAATCATGTTAAAGAAGCAATTACCTGTATAGGCGTTCCTGACAATATCAGCCTGTGATTGGCAATCAGCTGTTTGATAGCTTTGAACACTTTTGTCTTGCCATTCTTGATCACATGTCCCTCGTCTAATATACAATAGTTCCATCTGATACTGCTGAAGAAATCGATGTCTTTTCGTACGATGTCGTAGGAGGCTACGATAAAGTTATAATGTTTGACGTGATGACGTAACCGTTCCCGTTCATAAGGTATCCCTACGTACTGTAGAGGTTTGAGGAATTTCGACGGAATAAATTTGTTGACTTCGAACACCCAGTGACCTGGAAAAATTAAAGTATTGTTATAATTTGAAACATTTCATACACGGCCGCCTGATCTCAAACTAGACAGTTAGAAATATGCTAGCCAGACTGCTGATAAACATACTTATATATTTGTAACTACATACAAAATATAAATAAATTATACCCAGTCATGGAACAAATGATCCTGCTCATCACACAAATATTTGTCCTGGGTGGGAATCGATCTCTGGCTTAGCAGTCAGGATTACTAGTACTGAACCATAGCTCTAGTGTTAAATGAGATTCTCAGATAAAAAGGATGTAACTGAGGCATCAAATCGAGTTTATTTTAGTTTTATTATCTTATATTTAGTTTTTTGTATTTGATCAAAGTAAGATTTAAATAAGAAATTTAATATGGGGTTCCTGAAAATAAATCTCTAATGATAAGATTTTTTTTTTTTTATAAATGTACTTTAAATCCAATATTATTTTTAAAAAGTATTGAAGTTATATTGCCAACAGATCTCTGGAAGTGAGCGATGGCAAGTTTAGAGGAGGTGTGTACCGGTGAGCGTGGGCGGGCACACGACGAGCGAGGGCAGCTGCGGCGCGCGCTGGCCGGCGCGCTCCCAGTGCGAGCCCGCCACCACGGCCAGGGACTGCAGCGTCTTGCCCAGCCCCATGTCGTCGCACAGCACGCCGTGCAGCTTGTACTCGTACAGGAAGCGCAGCCAGTTCACGCCCGCCTGACACACACCACCAGTAATGTCATCTGAGGGCTTAGTGTAAGTTTATTTCACGTTCACTCGCTCTCGACGGCGAGCGCGTTTGGCGTTGTGATTAGCGGATGTGAAATAAACTTGCACTCCGGCCTCTATACGCTCCGAGTTTACATTAAAACTAAACATTTCTCTATTGCTTACACAATTTTGTCTATTGACATTTTAGACATTTAATGTAACTTTGGCGACGATTATTTACAAAATCATAAAATACGGTCCAAAACTGTATTCTTCAGCCAAGAATATAGTAATAGTAAGATTATAATGTACAGCCATATTTGTTTACCTAATAATTTCTTGTACAGTAAAAAATCATCTTTTAGGCCCACGATGTCCGTATTATAAAGAAAGAAAGCAGAATATGACATTTTATTAAGTAGATAATAATTTAGCTACATACGAGGGGTGATCAATAAGTAATGATAATCGAGTATTTCTAGAACGCACAAAAACCCAAATTATTTTTTTTCTGCCTGCTTATATATCCACTACTTCAGCTTCAAAAAAATGTATAAATAGGACACCATTACCGGGAGATACATTCATTTGAATACGAACTGTCGAAGAGAAAACATCAAAATGGAGAAAAATGAAATAAGAGCTGTCATCAAGTACCTCTGCCTGAAAAAAATGTTTACCAAAGACATACACAGCGACTTAGAGGAAACATTGGGGGAGTCTGCTCCTCCATATTCCACAGTCGCACGCTGGGCAAAGGAATTTAAGCTGGGCAGAACCTCCACTGAAGATGAACATCGCGAGGGACGCCCTTCCACGTCCCTTACTGGAGAAAACGTCAAAAAAGTGGAAGATATCGTGTTGGCCGATCGAAGGGTGACCGTAAGGCATGTAGCTGAGGTCACAGGGATCTCCTATGGCAGCGTTCAAAAAATCATTGTCAACAAAATGCATATGAAAAAGGTCTCTGCGCGTTGGGTACCGAGAATGTTAACCGACGAGCAAAAAAAGAAACGAGTCGACATTTCGAGGGTGAATCTTCAAAAGTTCCAGGCCGATAAAGAATTTTTTTGTCGCGTTTTGTGACCATGGACGAGACCTGGATCCACCACTTTGATCCCGAAACCAAACAACAATCAATGACTTGGAAACGAGCTTCCTCACCAACGCCGAAGAAATTCAAAGTGTCAAGTTCAGCGGGAAAGGTTATGGCGTCTGTTTTCTGGGATGCAGAAGGAATTATTATGGTGGAATATTTGGAAAAGGGGGCCACTATAACAGGCTCTTACTACGCAGGCCAAATAAGAAGATTGCGAGAAGCTATTAAGTCAAAAAGACGCGGTAAACTGCGCGCTGGAGTGCTGTTTCACCAAGACAACGCCCCGGCTCACAAAGCCGCACTTGCGATGGCTGCCATTGAAGAAACGGGGTTCGAACTGCTCGAACACCCTCCCTATTCGCCAGATCTAGCTCCCAGTGACTTCTACCTCTTTCCTCGGCTCAAAGAACACCTCCGGGGCAACAAATTTGAGGACAATAGTGAAGTGATGGCCGCAGTAGAGGCATTTTGGGAGGGTCAAGATAAAGAATTTTTTTCTAAGGGAATCATGGGCTTAGAAAAAAGATACACTAAATGCATTAACTTGCAAGGAGACTATGTTGAAAAATAAAATAATTTTTTTAATCTAATAGTTCTGTTTCATATTGATTATCATTACTTATTGATCACCCCTCGTAAAACACACATTAATAGCATTGTTATTAAATTTTCTAAATGAACTCATCATCATCAACCGTTTTTACTAGTCCACTGCTAGACATAGACCTCTCCTTAGAAAGGTAGTTTTTGTTCTCTATACATGTGGTGACAGATTAAGAATACAGAGTGTCACCACCCCTATTCATCCCGTGGGTGTCGTGAGAGCCGACTAAGGGAGTAAACTACGCAGGACAACATCGCTGCAATGAGAAGGAAACTTAAACAAACCCTATACCGACCCGTCTAGCCAGAATGGTGTAGTAGGCAAAAACCTTCTTTCTAAGGAGAAACCTATGACCTTCATGAACTAATAAAAGGTTAAACTTAAGAGTAAGTTCAGATTGCTGGTGTACCTCATTCAGTAAAATAAAATCCCTCATAAGTATACTAACCTGTTGATAGCTCCGAAGTTCAGCAGACACGGGTACAGGTATCTTGTAGTCTTTAATGCTCTTAGGATTGAACAGCTGGTCCAAGAAGTTCTTGTCATGTAGTCGCCTCTCTCGAAGTTCAGGCGTGAGGTCGGGCGGCTCGGCCACTCCGCCGTCTAATGGCATCAGTTGGATGAGGGACGCGAAGCAACGGGTAGACATTACTCGCACAGCTTCGCAGTGGTCACTCATGCGACCTGTTATGGAAATATGTCATCATTAAATGTTATTCTAAAATAAAAATGTAAATGCGTTATAAATTTGAATGTCATTTTCTAGTTATAATATAGATTTTTCAGATTGAATAGTAATTGAAAACGTTCTAGAGCAGCGATTCCCAAACTATTTTGAGCAAGAGACCCCTTTCCTAAAAAGAACTGATATACCTCAGACCCCCAAATTACAGCAGGCTTATCGACTTGTTTTTTGAAAGTAAAACAATGATACTTTCTACAAAATATTAGTCATTCTTATAACAAGTTGGTACACGTAACACAACTAATACAGTATCTTGAAAGTTTCAAATAAGAACTTCTGTTTTTTAATAGGGGTCGATTTTTAGACCTCGTCGCCTCCCAAAATCAGTTTTCGTTTATTTCGATCCCTGGGAAACCGATTTTGACCCACCCGAAAGGGTCGATATCGACCATTTCGGGAATCCCTGTTGTAGAGCAACTGAAAGGTACATGTATGTGTCGATAGAGCATGGTGGTAGACACGTATCTGTCTACCACCTTGCTCCATAGAAATTTGAAACTTATCAACATAGGCTAAGTATGAGATTAGATATATATTATTATTATATAGAATTAACATAATAATTTTATATGTAGGTACTAAAAAACTTTTAGTTTCTTATTTCTTAAATCGAACAGAAAAGTAAATTATTTGATTATAGTTAGGCATGATGTTATAACTCTACTCTATACTAATACTAACATAAAATCGTTCACGTTAAATATAAAAGTCATAAATACGTTTTTAAATAAATTGACTTATTCTTTTTTTGTTTGTTATAATTGGATAATCTTTATTTTAAACCGTAAACTGTGGAATCTTCTTTTAGGTATCGTAAAATATATCGTGTATAAGTTACCCAATAGTGGCACCACAAGCAGCACGATGTAGGGAACGATCTCCAGCTGCAGCGCGTCCACGATCCGCGCCAGCGCCTCGGCCGCGCCGCACCGCACCGAGTCGCTGCGGACGTCGCTCAGCGCCGGGATTAACTGTCAGGAGGCAATACACCATACTGTTATTGGAAACGAAGTTCTTTGTCACACAGCGTTACACGCTCTGAACGGATGGAGACGAGACCGAAAAATGTGTCACAAGACTTTTATTCGACACTTCAGTTGGCGCGTCAACACCTTCAACTTTTTTATATTTCATATATATAGCAAAAGTCTATCAAAAAGGGAAAAGAATTTCGTGCCTACCGGGGGTCTAAAGACCCCTCACGTCGTTTTATTTATATGAATATATTTTTTATGTTTTATGAAGTAGTATATCTTACGTAGTAAGCTTCGTCCGCCTATATGTTTGAACGAGATAAATTGTGTAAACACTAAATGGATTTTTATATGGTTTTCACTGGTCTCATGGGATTCACTTTTATTCTTTTGTTAGATTTATAATCAACGAAGGTTTTGCATAAAGACGAAGCATATGGCAATGTTCGTTGCGGTATGCAGCCGGTGAGTCAGTAGCACATACCTCTCGGACGAGCGTGTGCATGACGCGGTGGTAGCGCGCGCGGCACATGGCGGCGAGCGCGCGCGCGGCCATGTGTCGCAGCGCCGTGTAGCGCGCGCGAGTGAGCGCCGCCGCCGCGCGAGCCGCCCCCGCGCCCGCGCGCGCCTGGAGCGCGGGGCTCAGCGACGAGCACACCGCCTCGAACACCTGCAGCCGCGACACCATCTCCTCCGCGCACGGCACCTCCTGGCACTCCAGCTCTGGGGACGGTAAGGTGGTCGATTGTGTCATAAATAATAATGTCCGCTTCGTTAAAACAAATATTACATAACATCTCGGCAAAAATAATTACTCTAGCTTTTTATATCTGTTACGAATTTAAATTTAAATAAACGTTGAAATATATTCGTCAATTGAGCAGTCTAAAATAGTGACGTCACAAGTTGCCATTTGTACATGAATGTACATTTCTCATACAAAATAATAATTGTCGTTTTGACAGATGTAACTGAGGGTAGTTGACAAATTACCCTAATATCTCGAATAAAATCAATTCCTCAATACCATCGAGATACCGAGACCACTGAACTAAATCATGTCTAAGCAAATCGCGTTACCTAATTTAGGGCCCATCCACAAAGTGATATTTCCCCGCACACTTTTTTTCGCAAAATTCTGCGACACATGGGATCGATATAGGATTAACCGCACTGGCAAACCAAAAATTATGCGAAAAAAAATTTAATACAAAATGATTTGATGCAAATTGATCTCAGTTCGATGTCAATTCATTAAATCGCGGTAAAATATCGCTGTGCGGATGAGCCCTAATGTTCCTGTGAACACTAATTGTATCATTTCAATCTGCGCACAAATGACATACCGAGCGGTTTAATTTCTATCGTTTTCTTTTTTATAATAAATAGCTCCCTCCCAACTAGAAATATATCCTGTGTCGCAGAAGACAAACATACATGAAACGAATACAAAGAAGACCCAGACTCAGAACAACGATTTGTGGATCACACAAACTGTTATCCCATGTGAGGATTAAACCCACAACACTCAGTGCAACCGACAGCCAGGTGACTGCTTAAACATTACACTGCTTAGACATTCCGGTTATTCGTAGTGTGCTTGTCCATACGTGCAATCAATGTATGAGCAATGTATGTTATCGATGGTGAACGATGATATTCCAAAATTAGTTAAATTGACAAGTTTAGTGCTTTTAAAAATAAAACTTTATATCACACCATATTATTATACAAATGATTGAATGAACTCAAACTTTTTTACATTAATAAACATACCTGAATCGGTCATAACTCTCTCGAAAGGTTGCGTGATAAACTCCCACAGTTTCGGCAACTTCTTCGGCAACTCGTCACCGAAATACGTAGCGAGACTCGTTAGAGCCATAGTTGCGCCACGTCTTTGTATTCTTAGTAATTTACGAGCCTGAAATAAATAGATACATTGACTGCAAACTGCAAAAACTTAGCTTAGGGCGACACTTTCACATACAACAAAAAACATTTTTAATATCATCTAATGATGATACATTTAATTATCAAGTGACTACTAATCGTGCATTTTGCAATGAAAGTTTTCACGCCGATCAGTATATTAACAACTTCTCAATATTATTAACTGGTCCGCGGACCGCTATGTATGATGCCTGATTGGAGGGTCTTCATTTGGATTCGAGAGAATTTTATATCTGTTTTTCACTATCTATTATCTATTTTTGATGTATAATATGTATGTATTTACAGAAAAAAAGTATATGAGTATTCTATTAGTCTAGATTTCACAATACAAGCTCTGCTTAGTTTGAAACTAGATGGCGTTGTGTGTCGGATGTCCGAAAGGTCCGAAACTATCTAATTTCCCTATTAAAATATTTTTTACATATTTTGAAAATGTGTGTTACGTCATAATTTGCAAATCACATCATACTGTAGGTATCAAGCTAACCTCGAGCCGGCCTGGGAGCGTCGGTCATAGTTAGAAGTTACTCATCGGTCATGATATGTATTACAACTATAATTTGGGTTTATAAAGGTTCAAAGGGTTCTAAATTCACGTTTTTCACGCTCACGTGAGAAGAGAGGCGAGTCATGCAATGAACGTACCTCGTCCTCGTGCGGCAGCAGCAGGTCGAGCGCGGCGGCGGTGTGCGGGGCGGGGGGGCGGCCGCGCCGCGGGGCGCAGCGCTCGGCGGAGCGCTGCTGCTCCCACAGCGTCAGGATGCCCGAGTACTTGTCCACTGCAACAGCCACCCACCTTTATAACTTACTCAACTTTTATTACTATAGTCCGTCTAATCTAAGAGGTACCGTTTGACGTTTCATACTTTTCAAGACGAAACAACTCTGTATAGGCGTAACTCACACGATTTCAATAACCTTTTACGTAAAATAATGGCGTTATGTAGCCATTTTTATTGTGTCGCAAGATATACCTACAATTCTTAATGACTAAATTTAAATCTTTGAAACAAAGCAAAAAAAAAACAATTTATAAGCAATAGATCTTTTCTTTCAAACTTAATTTCAAAGTCACGTAGTTAGGTACTTTACCGTAGTGCTGCAGCTCTTCAAATTCACTTGAATACGAATAATCGTTAAAAATGTCGAATTATCGAATTTGTTAATAACGAGCAATTTTCAATCCAGGCGTTTTCAAGTGTTTAATAGCGCATCACTCAACGAAAACGCATAATTAAAATTTTTAAGTATGTAAGTTAATGTAATTTCAAAAAAATCTTTGCAGACAAAAATAGCTGGTGTCCAAATCTAGTGTATACTAAGATTTACTAGTAAAACCTATGATGTGCAAACACGATTCTTTAGAGTAACATACATAAATTTGTAAAACTGTAATCGATTAGTACATACTAAGAAATTATATCGAAATATAAGAACCAGATATTTTAGTAATTGATTTCTTTGACCCCATCGCTATACTTTAATCTTTCAGAAATGTCAAACGGTACCTCTTAGATTCGATGGACTTTAAGTGTCCTACATAGAATAGAATAATCTTTTCCCATGAAATGACTTACATGCCGGCGCCTGTTTAGTCTGTTCGCTCTTCCCCTCGGGCCCGCTATCCCCACTGCCGGAGTCTCCATTTTCCTCCGTACTTTCAAGTGATATACGAGGTGTATACTCTGGATCGCACCTATTAGTAAAATAAGAGGAAACCTTGAGATCACACACCATTGACAAGACTGTATACATTTTTTGAGATCCAAAAATGTTTAGTTGGGAAATACGGGATACGATCAAAAATATTCGACTAATGTTGTAGACAAAGTGTGTAGTTAAAAGTTTATGTAAAATTATTATAGTATTGTTAATATTTTGTTATTCACATTAAGTATTCGACATCAGCAGTTGGTCCAATATTGGACCAAATACTGTTACTGAATAACACCTGTTAAATATCCATACTATAAATAAATGTGAAAGTGAGTTTGTTTCTCACGCTCTCACGCCTAATCCACTAAACCAATTTTAAAAATTATTTCACAAATGGAAAGCTACATTATCATCGAGTAACTTAGCCTTTTTACCGCTCTAATCGACATACAAGAAGGCGGAGACGCGGGCAAAAAGGTAGTTATAGATAAATTACACCAAGACACAGAACAAATGATCGTGCCCATCCCATCTTGGGAGAGAATCGAATCCATTCCTTCTGACTTAGCAGTCAGGATCACTAACCACCAGATCAACTTCACTCTTCTAAAAACTTTTGAGTACTCACCTAAGAAAAGCTTTAAGGTTGACTAGCACTTTATTGTTAGGACACGAATCCCTGTTTACAAGCTGCGACAGCAACACTGCAAGAGTGTCAGCCGAATTCTGTTGCAATTCTTCCGAAGGTTCTTTCTTTACACTGTCCATTAGCGGTCTGACGACGGGGTTTAGTTTCTCTGGTAGAATGTGGAGATTAGCGCACGCACCTGCTAGCGTCGCTTGAACACTATTCGGCACAAAAACAATACTAGTTAGTTTCTTAATAAATTAAACATTAAGCTAAAAATAACGCATTCGTTTTTGGTAATGTGATAAAAAAAAATGAACATCTCTATTTGCATGGCGATTCATTTAACCACGTTCGTGAACGAGTGCTTCTTGTTTTGACTGGTCTATCTTTATTCATTTTTAACACTATCCATTTTATAGTAATTTAGTAATCACTTTTTTCAGCTGTGTACCACTAAACCACTTTCTGCTACATGTAATTTTCAAGTTTTCTCTTCTGTCTGCACTCCCAGAGTGCAATTGCTTTTTTTTATTTAAATATAATGCACAGTTGGTCAGGCATTCCTTACCAGCCAGCCTTTAGGTAGGGCAAAGAATATTATATTATTTTATGCGTATTGTTTTGCGTGTTGATATGTCAGCTGTTATACAGATGTGCTCTTTTCATTAAGCAAGTAAGTATCCATTGTCAATAGGTGGATGAGCATTACCTGGTCAGAAGACTCATTAAACAAATGTCTTCAAACAACGAAGACGATAGAAACATACTCACGAGACATTAAGAGAGCTCTGCTCAATAGTGCACAAGTTAACAGCAGACTGCAGATTCTTCCGTCTCTCCTCCAAGGTGAGTGCAACTCGCTTCGATTTCATGGCGGCCACCATCGGTTGAGAAATGTTCGTCAAGTGGACCACTTGCTCCAACCTCAATATGTTGCTGAATTCTTCGCCGTCCACCGGCAATTTGTAATGTTTCATCATAGCATGTAAATCGCGAGCTTCTTGCAATATTCTGAGAAAAAAATATTACAACCTAGAAATATTGATTTCTGTTAACAAACAATTAGCACTGTAAAACAGTGTACGCAAAAGCGATTAATAACCTTATTAAATTCTTTTAATATTTATGTAAGCTCTTGTCCCAACAAAATGTGAATTCTACAACTCACTAGCATTTTCACTCACAAACAATATAGGAAATACATTCGCTAAATTTATCATAGACTAACTAAAAACCAGAGCCCGGATAGCTGGCTATTTTACACAAGAGTTCCTTTTTTGATCACTTAAAGGCTGTTTGAAGTGGGCAAAGGCTATACTGAAATACGGGCATGCATCATCATCATCATGTACAGGCATGTTATCTTATACATATAAACATTTTATAACATGCTTATACATACAATGCTTTTTAATAATGAATCACATATAAACTTAGTCTCCCTCACCTGTTACAGTTAAGCGCGACCTCGTCGTAGTAGAGAGCTTGGTTGAGTGCGGTGTGAAGCGTAGTGGACAAAAGCGGCGGGGCCAACGACGATATAAGACTTTTTTCTTCCTCAATACTACTTTTTATTTCTCTCTGATCTTCTGTATTTTCCTTCTGAAACATTAATATTTTACTTTAGTTTTTGTTTAGATATTTCTGTCATAGAAAGTGTCTTGCAAAACGCCTTAAACGTTTTCATGGCTATTGTCCGTTGTCAATTTTAAGTATAATCATGTAGTTAAGAAATCCGCTACCTGCCTATAGATATAACAGAGGGCCTAGTCTGACTTTACATAAACTCGCTGTTTGTTGTGATCGGCCCGCACTGAACTCTTCACCAATCGCACCGTGACGATCGAGTTGATGTGAATGAACTCACACTAGACCCTCAGAAAGCTCACGTTGGCCTACCTGATGTGTGGCGTCCCCATTAGCGGTGTTCCCTTTAGCGGCGACGGGCTGGGGGAACATGTTGAGGTTGACGCAGTGGCGCGCCCACGACGAGACCACCAAGCTCGCCACGAGGCGCTGGAGCGCGCTGCCCGAGCGGAGGTATACTATCATCACCTACAATTTATATTTTCGATAAGAAATTAACATTAATGTTACAATATACAGTTTAAGAACGCTCTAAAAATGATAAATCAAGAATGTGTTCTATAATTTGCAAGAGATTTTCTCACAAAATAGTTTGCATGATTGTTAAAATCATTGTAATCTTCTATTTTTATTTATAGTGTACTTAACAATTGCAATGACCGATTGGGTAACTGTTGAAACTTAACCTACTACAAAACATCTACATATGTAACACATTTTTTTGCAATAAATGTCTTTGTCTACAATATTATTGTCTACAATATCTTAACTGTTGAATGTATGTAATTTATCAATAAAATAATATTTTTTAGAGTAAAATGTATTTAAATATTTAAGAGGACAAACCACATATAATTTTATATTTGTGAAAATCTAGTTTGTATTATCAATATGTATTTAAAAACATATTAGAGTTAACGTGTTTTTCAATCCTCTTTTCCTAACCAATATGATAAATGCGAAAGTGAGTTTGTTTATATGTTAAACCATTAAACCTTACTTACGACTTCTACCGAAAATCAATTTACGATATTTTTTATACAAATAAACTTTTCTCCTAAGATATCTGAATGTTCAAATTATTTATAATTAAATTAAATACATATACATCACATACATTTAAATTACATTTTTTTTTATCTCAATTTATCTGAATTGACCAATATATATTTGCGCGACCGAAGCCGCTTGTAAAAGTTATTACAACCTAAAATTGTTTAAATATGTCTGGACGTTTTTTATTTATATAAATACTTGATAACTCAAGAATCCATTTCAGGATTCATATAGAATCCTGTAACACATAAACAAACTTACATTCGCATTAATAAAGTAGGAAGAGTTAGGTAAGGAATATCCTGTTATAAAAGTAATAATAGGTCAACTGTGATTTACCTTAACATAGCAGTCTATAGGACTCTCGTCTTCAGATTTGTACTCTATACCAGGTGCTGGTTGGACCAGGTAACATGACAGGTAACCTGGAAAATACAACCATAATCAGTTTGAAAAAAATAAGGGCGAATTAGGTGTAATGTGTAATAAAGAACTTGGCTGTTCATAATTTAAAGCTAAATACACGGGTCTTTTAGAACCCTACTGTAACTTCTACTAACTGGATATCTACTTATCTATACTACATATCTTAAAGCTGAAGAGTTCATTTGTTTGTTTGGTTGAATGCGCTAATCTCAGAAACTACTGGTTCTAATAAAGTCTCTTAGGGTTGTATGGAAGACCGTTTATCGAGGAAGGCTATTTACGCCACGACCTATAGTTGTTGTGTTGTTGTAAAAATGTTGCAAAAATGCGTAAAATTGATTCCTTTAGCTAGTGCTACCTAATATATCTGCGGCGAGACACCTCGCCCTTGGCACGTTCCTATCCCGGAGGGCAGATTGCTGCGACTCGGAGCCGCCGATGTACCACTTCTGGCTCGGCCGCAGCTCGGGGGGCACGCTGAGGTTGTCCAGCGACTGAGAGTTCGTGCGCGTGCGGCGCTCCTGCAATTATACAAACACGTTCACAGATTAAATATCGTCATCAACTTCTTCCACAAAGTTTAGTATTAAAAGCTTACTAAACAAGTCTGCCACTACTACTACACATCTATCTATATCTATAGCTCTATAAATTAGAAACATATTTTTATCGTTAAATATCTTTTTCTTTCTTTCTTCTTTTTTTTAGGTAACTCCAGAATTAGGAATATATATATTCTGGGTCGCGGGGGACTCTACAGACATACACGAAACTCACTGGAAGGAAGCTAATCTTATAAAGGGTAACTTAGGCTCTTTTCTTTCACTTTAGAAAAATAATAATTAGGGTAACACAATGAAACCTACAAAACTCGAATTAGTAATTAGCAAGGTGGTCACTTAAACCACTCAGTTTAAATATAATTATAACTGGAATAATTATCAAGCTCACCTTCGGAGGAGCATGCAGCAGTAATACAGGATCAACGCTGAGCCTGGCAGGCTGCATGGCCAGACACAGCCATGTGGCGAGCATAGGACACGCCGCCAGGAGTATCACTCCTAATGACGCGTACTTTAGGAAGTTTTCCCAGACCTTCGGAGAATTAAATCATATTTTAATAAATTTTCTATCTAGATAATATATTAACTAGTATTAACAACTGAATTATACATAAATCAAGTGCAACAGTGATATTATTACTGCATTATTATTTAAAATATACAAAGGCAATAGGGAGGCTCACCTGTACAGCGATTTCTTGAATTTCATGGACATGTTCAAATAACACTCTCTGATAAATATGTCTCATTGCCTCCTGAAGCAACTCTGGTGTCCAATCCAAATACTCTTCAGAGACCGCGTTAGTGTTTATATCAGTGTTACCATTAGTGTCTGTTTGGCCATTGTTTGTAATTTTTTTGTGCGTGACTAGAGGTCTGGTCAAAGTGCGTAACGTTTGTAGAGTCGCTTTTCGAACGGAGCTCGTTGAGTGATCCAAGTATGGCCAAAGGCGAGGGAGTACATCAGCTAAGTCGATGGGACTGTAAACAAACAAAGACATATATTTTTTTTAATTGCTGGTTTTGATACACGCACGTGTTTACTATGGTAAGTGAATATCGAGATGTAATATAAGATCTGCATCAGTTTTTAGTTTGTTTAGATTCTTTACAACCTCAAATCAATAAAACAAGAAATCTACAATGCAGTCTACTTAGGCCAGTGTATGATAGCCAACCCAACATCTTGGTCCTTCGAACCAATCGTCATCACTGGTTGATTTATTTTACAGGTGAGAATCAATGGATGAAATACTTAATTGGAGGCGAAACTATAAAATATTGTATACGTACTGAAGTAAACTGGCAGGTTCAGGTAAAGCCATTAACGCAGCCAAAAGTGCCATGTACGAATTAGCCGGCGCTGCTAGTTCATCCTGATCTCGTAACAATCTCCATAATCTTGCTACGACATCCCGGACGCATCCGGCTCTCGCCCTGGCTAAAGCTCCTGCTGCAGGGACCAGGGCACCGGCTGCAACGGCGGATACATCTTCGGCAACATCCCCGAGACCCCGCATTAGGTGTTCCAAGGCACCGCTTTCACACGCTACTTCCTGTACAAACAAAGAATGGAGTAATGTAAGTATTGAAATAATTTGACAAAGGGAAACACTGGGAACTAATGTCAAATACAAATAATTAAAATTTGGAATGTCTACTTGTAATATCAAAATAATAGTTTGTTTTCATGCTCACACGGTTATTTGCACGATATCTATGCCTAAAAACCAGTTTAAATATTTTTTGTCTGTCTGTCTGTTTGTTCCGGGTAATCTTCAAAACGGCTGGACCGATTTTGATAATATTTTCCTACCAGGTAGCTGTCGTAATAATAAAATCATTTCTTTTCTCTATAAATTTCAATTAGTTTTCTCTTTCGTGAATTGGAAATATGAAACCTTCACTGCTGCTAATTTAGCCTTCTTGTTCTCTTTTTTTTGTACGTGTGAACGAGGTGTTCACTCCACCGGAGTTCGCGGTGGGGCGGTGTGTCGGAATCGAACCGACTAAATCCACAGGAACACATGAGCCCTAAATACTAGGGATCCGGGAACACCTTAATGAAGGACAAATTCCAATGTAGCCTCAGATTCATATCTCAATTGGTTACGCTTTTCACTTTATTAATAAATATATTTTACGTAGGTAATACTAAGTAAATTCAAAATTTAATATACAAATATATACGACGTGACGTTGCTTATATCTCATAATATATATGGCAAATATAAATGTACCAAGTCTCAGAGTGATAACTTACGTAAAATATAACGTAATTCATTGTCCAGTGTTAATGATTACAGGCAATACGTTGAGGGACAGACTAACCTGCCTAGCAGCAAGCAGGTATTTGAATCCAAGTAACGCTCCGTGCCTCGCCTCCCACTGTGGATGTGTAGACAATGATGCCAAGAGTTCCGCAACCTTCCGTACTCGGTCAGTGGATAACTGCGCTAATGCCACTCCTAATGTTTGTGCACACGTTTCTCGGACTGGGGCCACTACCTATCAGATAATTTGAAATAAATATTATACCCAAACCTTATAAATATGACAGAAGTTTCACCTTGGTCTGGACCTCGCTTTTATTTCTTTCTTATTAGAAGTAGGCACTGGGTATAGAATTAGCTCCGGTAAAAATAGCAATGTTTTGCAAGTAAAGTACATAAGCACAGACATCAATAAAACAGTACCCATAGGTATGCAAAGGCTATTGAACTAACTTTAAAGTAATTCTGCAAACAATATATCAAATATGGACATTTAACATATTCAAGGGTCCAAAGATAAAAATTTGGTCCCTTGGAGTAATAATAATATGTTAGTACAAGGATCTATTGTATCAGAATTTATGTGAACAAAGAAAGGCATCAAGCACATTATAGCATTCATAAATTTGTATATGGCCTAATTTTAACTATGCTTTTTCGTATTTCATACAATTTTTTTACGATCATTATTATTACATACGGTATGTTCACTTTCACGATTTTTTTCGGTTAATTTACTGTAATCCGATATGCCAATTAGATTTACTATGAGACTAATGTACTCCAACAATAAATTGGTCAGTATAAAAGTGATTACGATCTCGGTGCAGACACCATTTAAAAAACTACCATGATTAGTTTAGGTCAACTAAACCACAACACTTAAAGTTTTCACTTTGCGACCCCGGGTCGCCCCCCTTCAGATTCGGGGCTGCTTCTTTTATCTAGCAAAGAATACAGTCCAATCAAATCAATCGTGGGAGAGCCATTCTTCGGCACATATGGGCCAGGCTACGGCTCGGTGCTACCACGGCCCCACAGAAAACTGGTGTTAAGCACCAAGTGTGTGAGTTTATCGAAGTCCAAACTCTAACCCACCCCGTGATTCTGGGGGGAAGGACGGAAAGAGAGACAATGCTTTTGAGTTGCAGGTGTCCATGGACGGCGGTAGTCACTTGCAATCAGGTGACATGTCTACTCATTGCTATCTCTATACCATAAAAAAACTTGTAATCGTTTTTTTTTGGCATGTTATTTCCCGGGTAATATGTTAAATGCACGCACACAAAGGACTTGAACAATAACAATAAATGAGAAGATTGAATTATAGTTATGTATACCGATTTAAACTTTTATAAGCAGCGAGAGTATTTGTAGAGACTAAGCAAGATTTAGCAAAGAGAAGCCCATATTTCTAGTAACGTTATTAAAAGTCATTTTTACCTGATCCGAAACGAAGTCCCCGAAGCGGTCTAATGCTAAGACACAAAGTAACCGAAGTGCCATGTCTTCCAACCATTCTTGATGGGCTGACTCCATCTGGGGATAGAATATTTAATAAGTATACTTATATCATATTAACTCAAGAAATATTGAATATTACGTCGTAATGTTTTTTTTCATTGTCCCACCTGGTCGTACATTATAACAATAAAAGTCCCAATACGTATAAATGACTCAAGGTCACTGACTGGTTTAAGCGTCAACACAGTCAATTTATTACCTGCCTTCCTTACCATTTATTCCGAAAAATATCTAATTTCTACTGTTTCTTAGGGTCTCCCATTACAAACTATGTATTGATAAGTTGAGTTAAGAAGTAAAGTTAGCTTTGGGCGCTTTACCTCTTGTAAAGTCATGAAGGCGTCATGTCCAGCCGAGTTCACGATCTTGGCGCGCAACAGTTCTCTCAACGCGCTTGCAGCACCGTGTCGTGATTCCCATGCTGAACTGAATAATTGTGTCTGAAGGGCTCCCACCCAGGCCTCGAGGGGCCATCGCGTACACTCGCCCCAAGATCCAGAACAGTCAGGTACTGGAGCGCTGGTTTCAACTGAACACAAATGAAATATAGTTTTTAAATTCCCGTTAACATAATTATTTGTAGATATGTCAACTATTGTCAATCAAACAAATGACATCAATGATTTTAATGATTTATGACTGGTATAAATTGGAAAATTAATTAATTGGTATAATTTTATATGTCCAGCAGTGGACTATCAAAGGCTGTTGATGAAGTGATGATGATAAATTGGAGAGCCCTATGTCCAGCGGTGGTTTAAGGCTCCTCAACTTCACATCCCCGAAATTCATTTTATGTATATGCAGTATGTATGAAAGGTTAAAGAAAGCAATCAAATAAAGCTAATATAACATTTAACACGAATTATCAAAATCAGAATCCATGTTTTAAACTTCATTTGATATTTCCATCATCTTTAATACTACTAAGTGTTGTTTCTAACCATTTTTTTTTTACTAGTTGCTATTAACAATAAAAGAAACGAGTGCTATCGTATTTTTAGTAAATATTCGCGACAAGGTTATTATTTTCCTGGTTAGGTCATATATCCATTAATATTATAAATTACTGTTGGAAACATTGTCAGCAAGTAACATAGGCTACTTTTTTACCTCGATAACCAACATACACGATGGCAGGCAAAAGCTAGTCCATACTAATATTATAAATGCGAAAGTGTGTCTGTCTGTGTGTCTGTCTGTCTGTCTGTTACCTCTTCAGGCTTCAACCCCTTACTTAGATCAAATTTCGGCTAGTTTTTATCCCAGAAATCAGCCTTTACGGAGGTGAAAAGGGGGGGTGGAAGTTTATATGGGGAATCAATACTGCGGAACCGATTGAGATAAAATTTGGTATGGATATATCCATTTCTTCCTTTAATTCTTTACCTCGATGATAAACTAAACAAAGACTGCAGAAGACATCTACCAATGCAAACAGCTACTCGGCAAAAGTTGGAGACTATCACAAAAGATTACACTATGGCTCTACAGAACAGTCATAAGACCAATAATCACTTACGGTGCTACTGTTTGGTGGCAGACAACAGAGCTAAGCACCGTCATAAACAAATTTTACCGCGATAGCCAACATTTACGCGGGCGAAGCCGAGGGCAAAAGCTAGCACTAAATAAATACAAAATTAATATATGTGAGATATAATACAAACATAATTTGGAGAACAATTAAAATTTCCGGGAAATAATGGGAAACCGTTAGAAACCACCGCCAATTGTTTTATAATAGTGTTAAAAATATTTTATAACACAGTTGCACTGAAAAAGCGGAAAAAACCTTGTTATATTAGAATGACGAATGGCACGCAAACAGTGAGTAGATGTGACAGTGAAAAGTGGGTCAACGGATCATGCAACAATTTAAGGTCCACTTAGATCTTATTGAACGCATCACTAACTAAATACAAGTGGTAGGAATATACATGCAGGGACTACAATCATTTAAAAATAGTCTATTCAGTGTATCAGACAGGTACAACTGAACAAAAAAATAAGTAAATACTCGTAGAAATAAGTACATATTAACAGGCAAGAAATATAGTAAACAAAAGATCCTTGTGTCGGTTTTATTTCTCAAGGCTTATAAATCAATTCGAATGTTTTTTTTTTAATTTCTAAGGAGAGGCCCAGTCCAGCAGTGGACTATTAACAGTTGATGATGATGATTTAATTTATTAAAAACGTTTCACAAGTTTGTGTAATAAATATTCTGTGTAAGTAAAAATCATAATTTTATAAGTTCCTACATTATTTACAATAAATAAGGATGTAGGGAATCATGAAAAGGCGCAATCACTCATTATAAGAAACCCTCCCTATTTCCAAAGTCTTATTGTTACGTGAGTCACACATTACTAGTACGCTTGTTAACCCACTCAATTAAGTTAAATAAGATATAATTAGAAGGGCTGGGTGACACTTCAACTCGTGAACTATATAGATTGCAATTAAAGTTAAAAGTAAATGTATGATGCATTAAGTGGATTTTTTACATAAATAATAATAATAATATTCTACCACATTCACATAACGTCATCTATTCCCAAACTAAGAAGAGCTTGTACTATGACTACTATACAGCTGATATAAATACATATATACTTTTTTTTTTGTAAATACATACTTATTATACATAGAATACATACATCTATGTAATTAAGTATGCTTCTTCAAACTGTATTCCCTTTTTTACAGAAGCAGATACCTTAATTGTAAATTAATAGACCCCCAATATTATTAGTCACCGGAACACAACACAAGCCTTGCAATAAAAAAAACTTGGTTATTAAACATTTTCAAAGGCTTATCGCATTCGGTAAAAAATAGAAACAGTACAATTATTTAGTTTAACATCAAAGGCGTGATCGTCTTAATTATAGACACCGTGCAAGATTCCTCATGACTTAATTCGATACACCCGTTACTTGGTTAAAAGTGGAACGTTCTAGAAAATATTTCGTATTGAGTTGATTGCGATAACACGCCCAAGCCGGTCAACACACCTTCGTAATTTTATGGAAAGCTGTTTTCGAGTCCCTTAGCAGTATGTACATACACTAATGTTTACACAATCTACACATGTTAGCCCTAAATAACGTTTAATGTTCTGTACAAAAGTAAACGTAATATGACTACAAAGTAAGAATATAGAAGAATCTGAGACTACATTTTAGGAAAACTTGGTAGTTTATTAAATTGAATCGGTAGGAGTATTGAGATTTGAAATTGAGATTTCTTCGCCTTTTGCAAACCGACATCCATAAAAAAAAACGGTTGTGCTGAGGCTGGCTCCATTTAAATTTAGAAAAATAAGGAAAATTAAGGAACGAAAAATATAACTTATTAAAATTAAGAACCATAGTGGTCGCCGATAGGATTTTTTATAGTTTAATTTTTAATTACTTTGTTACCATAGGAAGAAGTAAGCAAGAAAGTACTCACAAATAAATTCCTCAGGCTGTTCTAATTTTATTTTCTTCCTGTCAGGTTCAACGGGCGTCGGAGTAGGTGGTGCAGAAGGGCCATCCTCGCTGCAGTCTCTAGACTTTTGTTTGCTGAAAGCCAGGCGTGCTTTTCGCTTGGCCAGATTTATCTCCCGGGAGCTTAAAGGTTTTGTTGATGAAACAATTTCTTGTATCGGTCTCTGTAAAAAAGTAATACGTTTAGGCCATATTTAATTAAAAGTTACTTAGAAACCGTATCACCATTTAAGCATGCAAGCATCATGTATTGTAATTCATTTTGAGACCTCCATTTGTTTTTATTTAAAGGCGTGACTAAAGAGTAAAATATTTAAACTATAGTAAAACAAATAGGTAGAGAAATATGTTTTTAGTATATTCGTATATTGTGACTAAAACCGTTAAGAAATGACTAATAACAACAGTCGTTGGTCACGCAGTTGTCGAGGAAAATATAAAACATTGCATCATTGTTGTATTTAGAAGATATTTCTAACACTTTTAACAAATTTCACTAAATTACTCTGAATATAGACTGATTGACTGACTTTCATAAATTGTACAATTGTCTGCAGAACCTAACCGTAACTGTCTGTCATGCCAATGATTAAGAAAGGTCAGTCAAAGAGTTTCACTGAGAAAGTATTGATAACATTAGCCCACAGCGTTATTTATTACGAGTATATATCACATTAGCATATACTGTTCGAAACAAAACATTTAGCTTAACAGTTTTAGCACAGTTTAATTTTTTCCGAACTCTCTACTAACAGTTTACTTTTGTTACCATTCCTTCCTTCAGGACATTAATAGAATTGTTCTTCATTCATGACAGGACAGTAATAGAATCAAGACAGTAATTTCAGGATGACGGATTACAACACTTAGAAATGCACACTCCTAAAATTTTACGATTATGACCTAAATTTCTAGGTAGAATTTGAATTAGAACATGCGATAGCCGTGTTCTTATCGGTGTAGGCATAGCTCGTTAATATTTACACAACCCCTGGTCAGGACAGTAATAGAATCAAGACAGTAATTTCAGGATGACGGATATTTTCATGACGACGGTTTTTGTAACGGGATGGAATTTAAACGTCGTTCGCCCTTAAGAGAATGGAGGCGTGAAAATATTGTACCTCTACCCTAAACAAAATAATACATTGGCTTTGCGTTATTTTGTTAGTGCTACACAATCAGACAGATACGATAGATATAGACATTATAATAATAGGCAAAGGCTTTAACTTACCCTTGGTGGTTCAGTCTTTGGAACAGTAGGTTTAACAGGACACAAGTCCTCATTGGTATACATAGAGTTCAGATCAACGCCGAGGTTGGCGGCGACGTCGAGTCCCAAACGGGCGTTTAACTGTTGCCGTTGTTTTGCCAAGCGCTCCTTGGTTTCTGAAATAAAAGAGCGACTTCACTTATTTATGCAAAGCAAATGGTTCTAGCTCCTAACTCCTAATTTGGTGTTATGTATCTCTGATAGTGGATATTGTTCTAAAAATGTGATATGAAGAAAGATAGACAGGGTTCATCGAGTGCAAACAATACATCACCGGTCTTAGTATTTCTAAGTAACAGTAATGCCTGGATTGAGACTAAGTTGAATATCTATTTTTGACCGGGTAAATCATGTTTATGAGTTCAGAAACAAATCAAAATGTACATATTTTGAAGGCTCACCTACACCGTTGAGTGTTTCTTCGTCGAGATCGTACTCATGCCCCTCGGAGCCCATGAGGTGGGCGCCATTCTGCAGTACACGCTGAATATCGAACGTCTCACATCGTAGGCGACCTGTGTCCTCTATTTCGGCCTTCTCCTCTGGACAACAAAAAATATTACATACATGATTATCCACTTTAACTGGCATACCAACATACACGAATAACCTAAATATTTTATAAGTAGGTAATAAAAAATATAAGTATATAAAATATTTGAACACATCAACAAACGTATTATATAGGGTTTTCCAATTAGCGTGGGTAGATTTTGGCGGTCCGTGGAGGCAATTTTTTTTTGTGAAATTGTCAAATCTTTTGCTTATTATTCAGTTCAATTTGAGACTACCGGTTCGGTAATCAATCAACCGGCACCCGTTCGTTCAAGACACGCAAGATCGACCGACATCGCCGCGGTCCGTGAAAGTGTACAGCTGAACCCGAGACAGTCGATTCCTCGCCGTGCACAAGAACTCGGCATTTCGCAGACTTCAACTTGGCGAATTTTCCGTCGGGACTTAGGCCTACACCCGTACAGGATCTAACTGGAACAGGAGCTTAAATCCATGACCATAGACAATGCCGTTTGTTGCTTGCCAATGGGCTTCGACCCGTTTGGAAGAGTACCCCAATTTTGGCCGAAAAAACATCTTTAGCGACGAGGCGCATTTTGGGATGAATGGCTGTTAACAAGCGGAATTGCCGTATATGGGACTACTCCAACCCACGTGAGCTACACCAGGTGATAATGCATCCCTTAAAAGTTACCGTTTGGTATGGATTTTGGGCCGGCGGCGTCATGGGTCCGTACTTTTCGAAAACGACGTTGGTGAGGCGGTCATCGTCACCGGCGACCGCTACAGAACGAGTTAACATATTTCTTATGGCCCAAATTAAACCACATGGGTCTAGACGATATGTGGTTAAAGCAGGATAGCGCTGTGTCGCTTAGGCAGGGAGCCGGACGCTCGGTGTCACCACTGCGTCGACTGTCGGGAGGACACGGCGCGGCATACGCTGGCAGTATGCCGCCTGGGAGGACCCGCGCCGTGCCCTCATATCTGTAGTAGGCAGTGACCTCTCGCTGCCGGCCGTAGTTCGTTCTATGGTCGACAGCGAGGAGTCCTGGGACGCGGTGGCGTCCTTCTGCGAAACGGTTATCTCGCAGAAGGAGGCTGCGGAGAGGGAGAGGGAGATCCTGACCTCTCCCGATCCGCAGCAGGCGCACCGGGCGTCGGAGGAGTGCATATGCTGCCCTCCACCGGCCCGCCTAGCTGGGTCCAGGGGCGACGGACTTGGGGATGTTCGTCGCCCCATCTGGACCCGAGGTGGCGGCGCGTTGTGTTCCCGTGCGCCCCTCTGTGTAGTCGCGAGGGAAGTCAAACACCTCACTCCCCTCGCTGACGCGATGTGGCCCGCAGCGGCGGGCCGGCACCAGTCGGGGATTGCGGAAGTCACCTCAGTTCCCGCGATCCCCGGCGTAGGTGAGAGACGGAACACCGGGGGGTTTTAGTCAGTAGTAGTCTGACAGACCCCTCCGCCCTTTCCCCTGGGCGGAGGAAATCCATGAGGATCTCCCCCCGTTAACAAAAAAAAAAAAGGATAGCGCTGCGTGGCACACAGCGGCCCCCAAGATTGATATTCTGCATGAACGATTTGAGGGTAAGGTTTTTTCTCGAAGGGGTGATGTAAATTGGCCACTAAGGTCATGCGATTTAACCCCACTAGACTTTTTCTTGTGGGGTTTCATGAAGTCGCAGGTCTATCGCTAATCTAGGTCGCAAATAAACCACAATCGACCGATGCCCTAAAGGTAAACATAACACAGGCCATCGCTCAAATTGAGCCAGATCTATGCGGAAGAGTCATTGAAAATTGGAACACTCGAATTAGTGCCACCGTAAGAAGCCGAGGCGATGTATGAACGATATTATATTCCACACCTAATGGCACATAATGACCCTTTCAAATAAAAAAAGGATTTTATTAATACCTTAAACACAACTTGTTTTATATCATGTCAACATCTACCCGCCTTTATTGAAAACCCCTATAATATGTAAAGTAGAAAGCAGACCAATAGATATTTTTAAAACATATTACATTTCTTTCTTACGTCTATTTCCCATACGGTTAAGAGAAAATAAATAGACAACATGTGTGTATTTATTTATATTTTGTTATGAATTGGCAGAGTTTTTTTTATGGTATAACGAGCAGACGGGTCACCTGATAAAAAGTGACTACAGCCGCCCATGAGCGTAACTCAGGAGTATCAGTGCCTACTCATGAGCGTAACTCAGGAGTATCAAGCGAGTTGGCGGTGTCAGAAGTTTGTGTTAATTTCCAGAATGTATTGCGTAATAATGTTTTTGTGTATTAGGAACTTCACCGGAATAGGGTAAGGATAATTTTGGACTTGAATAATTGATGGATAAAAATAGCTTATCATTAAATAAAACTGAATAAAACGAATCACAGGGTGAAATTCTGACGCTCGAAACAGAATAAAAGACGAGTTTAATACGCTTACTTTTTTATTACAACACTTAGAAATGCACACTCCTAAAATTTTACGATTATGACCTAAATTTCTAGGTAGAATTTAAATTAGAACATGCGATAGCCGTGTTCTTATCGGTGTAGGCATAGCTCGTTAATATTTACACAACCCCTGGTCATAAAATAACAAATATTCAATTAAATACATCCGTTTTGTCGACCGATAAAATTTTAATTTCTGAAGTGTAAACCATGAAAATTTATAAAAATGTACTCTTAATACTAAAAAAATCAGCTATAGATTGTGACGAGCCCGCTGATTTAGCAGCTAAGTCATTGGCCAATTTAATAACAAAAAACAGTAGATACGGATTGAACATTACGCGATAATCATTACGCTTTTCCAATATGTCATAAGAGTTTTAAGCGAAAACAAAACATTTTATTTTAAAAATGTCAAATTCTCGAACTGCCTAAAATCTAAATGATTGTGTTATGAATCTAATGTTTTTAGTTAAACACAACGATGAACAACAAGCCTTAAAACAAACTAATTTACGTTACATTACATTTTCAAACAATGCGTTTACCCGTATAATAAAATATAATATAAACAACATATGCAATGCACCGTGAGCTTAGCAATCAAGGCTAACATGATAAATACGAGGAACGAGGAAGGCGTGTTCAAACTTTTACTAGGAAGTCGACATTGGATTAAGTGTAGTACTTAGTCACTTAATCATCTCCTTGCACTTTTCTTAATTTAATATTGCATACTTAGAGCATACTGAGTTTCTGAGTTCTGATAAATAAGACTAGATATAAGACTTACGATAACTTTATTGTTTTCAAAGTATATTTCCTCGCAATTAATGTATTTTTGCATTCGCTGAAACCACTGTACAAATCAGTTGGACCAGTCTTCTTTAGGGATCTCTTCCTTAATGGCTTCATGGAACGCATACACAGCCGCAAGGCTCGTAAAACGCGTGGCTCTAAGTTTTTCTTTAATTTTTGGAAACTAAAAGAAGTAGCAGGGTGAGCGGTCCGGTCTGTAAGGCGGATGCGTCATCAGTTCCACATTTAAAGCCCTCAGATAGGCTTCTGTTACCTAGTGGCATGTGAGGATGCGTTATGGTGGTGAAGGAGGACATTGCTTCGAGGACGCTTTTCGCTAACTTATTCTAAGACTTTAGGCAAGCAAGTGTGACGTACTAATCTGCAGTCACTGTCCTTTGATCTTCAAGCAATGTCTGTAGTGTAATGTCCTGACTTGCCGAAATAATAAGCAACCGTGTGTTTGGTACGTATGTATGTATGTATATTTATCTCATTGTTTTTTTATAACTTCTCAATAATTTTCTCTTACTTTACATATCAATCTCTAGTGCACCTATTCACACATTTCAACACCACCCTAAGGTAGACTGGGAGAAAATTCCTATGGCATTGTCCGCTATTGTGCTTCTCATGCTCGTGCATAAAGTATTATAATAAATAAATCAATCTCAAAAAAGTATTACACTTGTGACCTGATTAGAACCATTTTTCCAAAACTAGGGAGAGAAACGTTTTAACCCTCAAAACAAAAAAAAAATTGGTTTACTATAGTAAAAGTCTATTAATTACACATAATTATATGAGAGATACTCGCACTGCTTTGCAGTATTAAGTTTAATATGAATGTTTACACCAAGAAACCTTCCAACTTAACCAATTGAAGTTGGCAAAAGCTCAAACGATAAAACTCATTTTAGCGAGTGTTTTTAGACCAAGACGAACCGCATAACTTATAGAAGATCTATACATACAGGTTAAGAAACAACAAATTTACATGAGAAAAAGTACGGATGAATACAATTCATTTGAAAAAAAGATAAGCAAATTGGTTGGATCATCATCATCAGCCTATCGCAGTCCACTGCTGGACACAGGCCTCTCCTATTGCACGCCACTTAGATCGATTTTGGAATTTAAATTATTTTTTTAATTTTGTTTTTTTTAATTGGTTGTATAGTATAACTAAATAGATGTATTTTTATTTATTATATTAAAAGATTAGCAAAGATTGTAAACAAACATTTATTATGCTTACATAAAAAAGCTTTGGCAATAAAAGCGATAAATTGTGTTTCTGTTAAGTTGCGTAAGAACATTATTTAGTTGAATTCCAGGTTCAGAAAAACTGGAATCGAAAAAAACATCAATATGTGGCAACCAACAAATTACGAATTATGAATACAGATGTAATTTTACTGTTTATATTTAAGTTGCTGAATAATTTATTGCTATTGTATCGTTTCGCTCATTTCAAATACAAAAATGAAATAGTTATTAATAAACAAGAAGTGTAAACAAACACTTTATCAGAAAAGTAATAAAACCCAACGGTATTTGTGTGCAGTTTAATCACGACATGACAGTTACAATACAGTTTATTTTGGGAACTGTGTTAAAAACTTGTTTGTTTAATGCAATTTTGGTATAACGCACTGATAACCTCTTTTTATCAAAATCTGGGACAAACAACAATACCACATAATTAGTTTTAGAAAAAACTTTTCATTTATCGAACATATTAAAATAGTTAATGAA